CTGCATCAGTTAATTTCTGGTCTACACAGGCAATTTGTTCTGTTTCCCCATGCTCATAATGGACAAACTATTCTTTTTCCTGACACCAAGTCCAAGTTTAGCTTGTCAGGGTTGGTCTGGGTGTCAGCCTTGTCATCTGGAGTACGAGCCAGCCAGTCTGCCCAGTCGATGGCACCTCCAGAGCTGCCCAGGATGTGTTCTGTTTCTGGCTTTAAATGGTGCCAGCTTCCTCATCCCCCATTAGCGAGGAGCAGCTTTTCTGACTCAGTGTGGGCCTTGGTCCTACTGCCCACTSCTCTGTGAGCCTGCAGCCTGATTCCTGCCCATGGCTGTTCACCTGCCCAGGTACTGCCACCCTCATTTCTCTGCAGGAAGGCTGGGGAACCCTGGTGCATTGTTCTTCAAGTAACAACCAGATCACTGCCTTACTCACAGAGCCAGGCCTTCGTCACCAAATGCAGTCAGTTTGTCCAAGCTTGATTTTGTCTGTAGTAGTCAATCAGTACTGTTTGTTCCTAATAATCATCTTGTCCTTCTGGTGCCTGGAAATGTTTTCCTTGTGGTCTTGCTCCGTAATGTTTTTACAGGAACGGAGGTGAAGCATTAGCCTGTGGCTTTCTGGATCCTCCTTCCCTTTTAAGCTGAACTTTAGACACTTTAACACTTTTTATATACTTTTTATGTTATGGCTCTGTGTCTAAAACTGGAGCATTTTTGAAGTGTGAATGCATTTTAGCTAAATACCAGACAACTGGGAGCCCTGCCTGTCAGTACTACCCTTGGTCTGAGACAGAATGACAATGTTGTCAGATGGACTAGCAACAAACAATAGTAGAAATTATCATTTAGTTACTTAGATTTGGCAGATGAAGAATGTTTATTTAATRCAATTAGAGAAGAAAGCTTATGTATTTTCCTTGTTCTAAGTAATTATTTTTCTGCACTTTTCTATTAATTTAAAAATTCTTCTCTTGAAATTGCCCGGAACTTTGGACATTAAGTGATTACCAGTGATTTTATTTCTGAGTAGTGACTAAGACACTGTCTTGCTTGTAGAATATAGATATTTTATTAAAGAGCTGCAAGTGCCAAGAAAATCTGTTTCATTAGATTGCTCATGGAGATTTAGCCTTGAGGGTTGTCTGAACTTAAGTATGTAGCAAAAAGATGGGAATTAGATTAACTTGGGCTGGTTTTTTCTCTATCTGAATACAAGAGCAGTGATAACCAGGAGTGTATACTGGGACTTGCACTTTCTACTTAGTAGCTTTGTTCTCTTAACTTTGGCGCTAAAACTTGCTAAATCTAGGTGTGGATGTTGTTAACATTTATTTGCAGTCAGATACCTTTTTGGAGTTCATCAAAGCATTATGAGTCTGTGGGAACATACTATTCCACCATGCCATACTAGATGTTGCCATTACTGGARAATTTGGAATTCTTTTCTGATGAGCATTGTAAGGTACCATTCACAGGGAACAGGAGCTACCTGAAACAAAGGTGACTTTTTTTTGTACAAAGTTTCTTTACTTCCCATTTTATCATGCCAACAGAGAGGAAAAGATAGCAATTATTTCTTGGCTAGACTGTCACTGCATACATTGTTAATTTTATGATTTAGGGCTTACAGAAGAGAATGTATTATTTTCCATCTTGTCTTCAGGAGACCAAATTGAGTTATAATGCTTCTTCATATACTACATCATTTAAATTTCTACTGATGTTTTTCCTTTTTTTCATAATGTCTCAACTTAGTTCACATTTTTTTTTTATTTTTTTAGCTGAGCAGAGAAGCTTTAATTAAAGTGCTTCAACTGAGGCCTTATCAGTGCCAAGTGGAGTGGAAGGGCGTCACCTGTCTTTTTCTTAGATGACATGCAAAGGAAGAGCTATTGATTTTGTCCCAGAGACAGTCTGAGTCATGGCTTTGTCAGACAGCTTTATTAGCCATTGGTTAGCTCAGCTGAGATATGATTTTTGGCTGTTTTTGACTAACACCATATTCCCAGAGGGAAATCAGAAGGTACAGTGCACTGCTCATGATAATTGCTCTGGCAACCATGGCAATCTGACAATTTCCTTAAAAATCTATCAATCCACTGTTACAATTAACTCTTCTGCTAGACATTGACTCAGGACAAAGAGATGGTACATCATCCTAATCTTCTTTTTCTGCTTTGGGAAGTAAGATACTTGGATGASAATCAAAAGTTGACCTAATGCATTTTGTATAGGAGGAGGAAGTATCTGTAAAAAAGATAGAGGTTAAAACAATCTCAGCTCGACTGTGATCAGTGCTGTTTCTTTGCTTCTCTGTTAGATCTCCTAAGGTAAAAGGATAAACTTATTTGTGCCTTGGGAAAATCRAGTTAAGCAAAGTTTTATTGATTGTGCAGTAGCTCATCTGGAAAGAGCTTCAGAACATTATGGAGAGGCTGCCTGTTTGCTGTGGGTGTTCAGCAAGTGCTGCTGTGAGGTTCCTGTGGTGGGGACAAGCCCTCTTGTGATTCTTGTGTGCACATTGTGTGTGGTGTCATGCTGCCAAAGCCTTTGGGAGTGTCTGACACACAGATGGCATCGGGCAGGTTCCCAGTGACCCTTCACATGTGGTCATGGATGTAGCAAGAAAAGCTGTTGCACTCCTTTTCTAGTACCAGGTGGATGAACAGTATACAATTAATAAAATCCATGCCACGCTTTGTCTTCTTTGAAACACAGTGTCTGGATGGCTACATCACAGTTGAATTTGCATCCAATTCTAAAATGGCTTAAAGTAGTCTGGCCAATTTGGGAAGGAAGCTGCTAATGGGAATCTCATGGCATACAGGTCTAAGTGCATTTCTGTTGGGCATCTGGTCTCAAGTTTGCTGTTCCATAAATGTGTGGTTTGTGACATCCCTTAGGAGGGTTTGGAAACTGGGAGCTTTCTGCCATGTGTTCCATTCATGCAGTATTTCCATTAGGCCACATGCARTTTTATTTTTTAGTTCCCTTGAGATTCAAGGGAACTAAATTATTATATGAAATAACCAGGTAATTGGGTTTTTCCATTATGGTGATCATACTTGGTAGATCCCAGAAGAGCCCTGCCTTTCTGTTTACACAGGATTAAGCCCTTTAAGTGCTGTCTTTGCTGAACAGTAAAAAACAGTGTATTTTTCACACAAAGGCCTTTAAAGTGGAGGTTGTGATATCCACTTCTGTCATTATCTCTGCTAACACATGGACAGATTAGTTTTAATTATATTAACAMTAATATAGTGGTGGCCTGTACTACATTTTAGACATAACTGTGGCAACAGAAATGGTGTTTTTTTTAGGTTTTCTCTTGCATTCTSTGCATGTCAGCCCACTCCATAATTGTGCACATTGACAAACTGGTTTGCCTGGAAGCTTCCCAACATGGAAGCTCGCAGGAAGAGCTACCTGGGAAAGGAAAGGTGGGTTATAACCTGTTCAGCGCAGGTTAGAGCCTGTAACATTTTTGTGCACCTTGTCCTTTGTCCCTTCCTGTCCCAGCTGGATGTGTTGTRTTTGGCATGGAAGGAGCTGAAGTAGCTGTGGGTGCTCTGAGTGTGTTTGCATGGAGCTGTCAGTCCATGAGCGCAGCTACCAGATCTGCGCACTGAGCAGAGAGTGCTGGCAAAGTCAGCATTGCTGAACTTCTTTTTTTTGTGCTGACCTTGGAGCTGCTGACATGGATCTGAAAAAGAAGGATATTTTATGTTTACAGAGGCATTTTGTCATGTAGCCATTCCATAAACTGAATCAGAACTCCTGGGGTTTTGCATGGTCAGAATCCCTGGATACATATGCCAAACCCAGTTAGCAATTTAGGATTACCTGATGGTTTATCTGTCCAAGTTACTGTGATTGTCCAATTTATTGTATAGCATAAAACATAATTTAATACTTATGTACAGAATGGCAGTCATGTGAATTAACAAGAAATCTGTAAGCTCTGAATGAATTCATGGCTYAGTGCAAGGGAAGTTTCAGTGGTACTTCTAAAGAAGGAGCAAATGTATTGCCTTCACAAAGTGCATTTCTAATGTTCTTGTAGTACATTCTCTTGAGAGACAAAGCAGATTGCACATCTGTGTAGGAAAGGAAATTCAGTACCAGCACCAATAGGGACGCTTTTAAGAAGTATTTAAGCTTTAAAGCAGTAAACATACCATCATTTAAAAACATACTTTATTATAKTCTCTTTTGTACCATAAGTTAAATTTTGTATTTGCCTTACTTTGTCTGGAAAAAAAGAAAATGTCCTTCAGTATTGGTGGTATAGATGGAAATACTGACCTACCACATAACTGTTCTCTCTGTAGTTCTTGACATTACTTCTTCTAGCTTGATTTGAGGCTTTGCTCATTGCCTGTTACCCTTTGGGCTTAGGACCACTCTTACTTTAGTACCAATATTTTCTCCATCTCTGTCCTTCCTGCTGATGTTTTTTTCCCATTTCTACATATTTGAGTATCAAAGAATGGTTCGGTAAGCGCAAACACAACTTTATTATTGCCAACTGAAACATGTATGTTTAAAAAGACAGAGGGATGGTAATTTACTTGAGAGTTTGATTTAGCATGAGCATATTAAGGCATTGATATAAAAGAAGTTTGTTTAGTTGTTGGGCAATTATTTATCATTGAAGACTCATTATGGAAGATGTTGTCACAGGGGCTTAAGAAGGTTTCAACARTAAAGTAGCAGCTTTAATTTTCATTTATTTTGCAGATCTTTACCTTGTATATAATTTTCTKTGGTTTTCATATTTTTATAATACTTTCTGATTCAGTGTTTTCCTGTTGCTCTTGCTTATAGGAGACTATTATGGAGCCTTTGAATTGTAGGAATGAATAAATTGTGAGAAGTATTTCAAGGCAGTTGAGTGTTGGTTTGCCACAGCCAGCTTCCTGCCCAAGCTGGGCTCTGTGTGTTGGTGGTGTGTGAGTGYCTGAGAGGTGTGGTGCTAAAGCAGTGCTGTTGTGTTGCAGAGAGCCACATTCTGGAGGATGTGAACAGGTGCATCGTGGCGCTGAGGGAGCAGGACGCCGAGGGCCTGGACCGAGCCGCCGGCGCCATCCGCGGCCGTGCCGCCAGGGTCGCTCACACCGTGGCGGGGGAGATGGACAACTACGAGCCAGGGGCTTACACCCAGGGGGTCATGATGCATGTGCAGCACCTGACCAAGGCTGGTAAGTCACTTCTGGGGCTTTGTGGTGGTGTAGTCATTCTTTTATATGCCACATTTCAAGTGCATCCTGTGAGTCTCTGATATAACACAGGGGTGGTACGCTGATGGTTTCCTCTGAGGTTTCGCCTTGTAGCATGCTGTTGAGTAAGGGGAGATATGCAAATCAAAACTCATTCAGAAAGTTTTATTTAAATTACATGATCTATGTAAGGTCTCAGTAGTTATGGAAGAACGTCACTGGGGTTCTTAATCCAYGTAACAATGGTTGGAGACTTGAACTGATGAGGCAGCAGCTTCCCACTTTGTACTGGCCTCAGCATGCCTGCTCTAAGCAGATGAAAGGAAAACTCAGAGGAAGKGAAGCAGGTACGTGATTTGTGTGGACTTTCACTTTAAAGATTTTTGAGTAGTCAGATAACCCAAAATACCTTCAGTTTTGCAAAGCCTGTGTGAACCAGAAATGGTTAGTAGTCTCTGTTTACATTTTCATAATACTAAAAAAGAGGGCATCCTGTATTGGAAAATGCCTGTACTGGCCACAGGGGTGCAACTGCGCCATTCAATAATAGTGTTCTATAATAGGTTCCTTTGTCTTCCATAACTGAATCTCTGGCCTTTCATAGTGTATAATTAATAAAAAGACATTATCTGTGGAGCAGTTGCAACTCCAGTAGCTGGGCAGTTAAACTGYGCTTAGGAAATTACTGGCAAGTACATCCCTGGAATATAGTATTTAACTTCCTGAACTCAGAAGTCTAAATCCTAGCTCTGTCAATCTAAAGAAATATTTAGTACCTTACATTTGACTGACATTTGCTTTATTTTACCACAAGAAAAGACAGGAATTTTGAGCTCTTTGTTAATAAGTTCAAATATGTCCAGGGCAGAACAGTCTTCATGTAGACAAGAGTGAACTGATACTGCAGTGATGTGGCAAAAGGGACAGAATAGTGGGAAGAGTTTGAARTAGACTTGCCTGTTTTTATCTTATTTTCTGATGTTTTGATGAGAAAATTGCAAAAACTTTGACCATTGCATTCCTTTCTTTATGACTTGTGGAAATACTGTGACAAATACCAAGGGAAGCAGCATAGAAAAACATCGTTTTGATKCTCATGTAAAAGCTGAGCCCATTTTTCTTGAAACTGGTAGTGTTTAAAGACATTAGGAGTTGACACTGATTTCTGTTTTGTTGCCTTGCTTTGACAGTAATATATATAATATACCTAAACCTGTCTGTCTGCAGAAGACAGGGAGACATAAAACTGGTTGTGGTTGGGAATGTTTGCTTCTTTCAAGGGACATCAAGCATGGTGACATCTCAAATGGCTTTGCAGTACTTCAGAGAATTCCACTGTCTTTATGTTGTTCAATAAGAGTGGAAAAAAGACACACATTCTTCTCATTTTCACCTGTATTTTTATGATCTGCAGTGAACAGACACCGAATCGTGTGAGGGCTGTTTGGTTGTTTCGTGGTTTTATTTGTTTAACTTTTTCAGCTTGCAGGTAAAATGCAAGGTAAGTTGCAGCCTCAGGTGTAGCCTGAACCATTTAATCCCATCTGAGTCTTCCAGGTCCAGCTAGTTGCAACGGGACATTTCACCAGGAGACAACTCTGTATTTATGCTGCTGTAACTGCCTCAGTTAATTTTCACAAATAACCTCAGGGAGTGAGGGACATCCTTTATGCCTAATGAAGAGGTAAAGTGTTACTGATGAGAAATTATTGCAGGCAGAGTATAGGACTAGTGAAAACAAAATTACAGTCAAGTAATAACAGAAAAGTAAAAACAAAAATGGAAGAGTGAATGGGAGAAGAAATAGGAAGGATGCAAACTGGAGGTAACAGGAGGAAGAAAATGAGCATAAAGAGGASATACATCTACTGTTTGTTAGAGCGAAGACCAAAGTTAAATTGKAGAATATATGTGGGGGTAATTTATAAAGAAAGAGGTTTAATTCTCTGTATTGCAATATGCAAGAGCACAAGACGTCTGAATCTCTGCTAAGCTGGAAGACATCAGACATATTTAAGATAAATGGAACTATTCAACAGTGGTGTCTTAATACTGACACAGAATGGGTATTAAAAACTGGAGCTTAATTTCTTAGCTCAGGTTGTGCAGCCTGTGTATGTATAAGCTGTTGGCATTCAAGGGTATGTCCAGTGGAGTGTCTGCTTTCTCAGGCTTATTTATGCTATTTCTCCGTTTTACCACTTCGCTTTCCTGAACGAGAAACCCCAAGAGGACTAACAACAAGGCTCTGTAAAAGCCCTGTTTATGRTGTGGAGTTGAGCTTTTACAAGTTAGATAATACCAGAGCTGGAGTTGTCTTGGCAGCCTTGATATCCCTTGATTTGTGCTCTGTGTGTGCAAGACACGAATTAGGACATTGTGATTATGTGATCGTTCACAGTTGTGTTACAAAACAGCTACTTTATTCCGGTCACTGCAGGGGCATATGCCAGGGTCACATATTAGAGAGGGCTGCTGTGCACAGGCTCAGTTCAGAAAGTGATGAAGAACAAGGCTGTGGGAAGAGAATATATGATCTCATATTGGAGGGAGGGTGAATTTGATGATCTTGGTCTTTCTGAACCAAAATGGTTCTGTGACTCTGTAGTTACACTGCCAGGGCCTGTACAGAGTTTCTGCTGGTSCTGGGTCCTCGAGGCTGCAGTAATGGTGGGGTGCTCCTCAGCTCCTGCTGTGAGGGAGCAGTGTTGTGGCCGTGTCCTTGTTCCATACCATAGTAACACTGGAACCTTCACTGTCCCCTCTTGCCGTCAGGTTTCTGTGACGAGAGCATGGAGATGTGTGGGTAGGAAAGAGMAGCAAAGCCTTCCAGCCAAGACCTTGGTGCAGATGGTTCTGAGTCAGCACTGAACATCATGCCCTGCAAATGTCATGGCCCAGGGTCTGTCTGACACCTTACAGACACTGGGCAAAGGTGTTCAGCCACGTGGGCTGCGTGTCCTGTGGAGCCAGCRGCTTTAACCCACCAGTGCATCTTGGATTGTACACGTGTGAGGTAGTTGAGCTTGAGGCTGTGTTCTGCTATGGTTAATGCTGAAACCATTCCTGCTGTTACCTCTGTCATTCCTAATGTCTGGCACTGTTGGTTAGATTGAAATATGCAGATTGTTCCATTTTGATAGGGCTTCTGTACTATTACATCAAAGCAAGATGAAACCTTTAGGAAMTGTTTACAAACCCCGTAAGGTATTTCTGCTTCAGAGCTGGAAGGGTAATCTTGTTCTGTACTTTTAAATACCAGTCTCCTCTGTTATTTTACTGCCTGTCAGAATCTGCAGCAGTTAAATTTAAATCAACAATTTATATTGTAGCATATATCTGTTGATATAGTAAAAAGTCTGTATTGTAAATTTGGTCTGCAGTTTAGCTTTAATGCCAAAGTATAATGATATACCTATATAAGTAAATACATATATAAATYCTTTAGTTATTTAGATGTCTACAGATCTTGTAAAAAAAAGCAAGAAAAAGGATGGAGACAAAGATAGGGAGAATTTAACTGTCTCAAGTCCCCAGTGGGCCAAAGACATTAAGCTTTTGGAGTGCTTGGGTTTGTGTTCAGTGATTTTCTTCAAAACCTTCAAAAGTTTCAGTTACTTTTTGGGCATCATGTTTTAACATCGTATTATGTGCTAGTCTAAATGAATTTATTTATTTACACTAATGCATTTATTTCTTTCCTGGTCCCAAGATTGCTGTTTTGGTTACGTTGCAGTCTCCCCTTTCCTTTGCCCCTCAAGGCCATTTCAGAGTGTGCACTTGTAAAGCCCCATATTAATACTGATCTACTATACCTGAAACAGAGCTTTCCTGTACAGTAATTTATTAAATGATTCTGTAGGGAGGATTAAATCTACTGCATTGCTTTTCTATGGGAAAAGGTAATTTATCTTAGTAATAAAAAAAAACCCGTGGTGTTTTATGATACAAACTTTCTTCCATCTTGTGCTTTTTATTCAGCTTTTCCATTTCTTGCAAGCCTGGCTGCACAAGCTAATGGCTTGTATTTTCCTGGCTGCTTCACTTGCCTTTTTCAAATTCAGTTTACAGGTTTGTCACACAGYTTATGTGAAATGACTGTCAGTTTCCTTTGTCCCCTGCCTTGAGTCTTCTGTGCTAGGGATTGTCTGCTCATCTTCAGGAATGCGACTCCCTTTCACCCRAAAGGCAACCCTAAAGAGGAAATGCAGGAGGGGGTTGTGGTCTGTTTTATTCTGCTCACTCTGATGTTTAGCACTTATTTTGTCATATTTTGGCAAAGCCCTCTGAGCCAGCCTGGGGAGAGAGGAGTGCCTCCAGGGACTTCACTGGCTTTTCCCAAGATGGATCTTCAAATAAAATCCTGAAATGGGATGAATGGGCTGTTGAAGSTCCTTACCTCTTGTTGTTGAACAGCAGCGAAAGATATCAATATGACCAACTTTGTTCTRAGTTATTTATTTGGGGGTAGCTGAAATGAGGTAAATGAGTCTTACTCTTTGTGTGGTACATACAAAAATCGTAAGTTTTTATTAATTTATAAAGACAAGTGTTTTTAATGAAAAATATTTTTCACCACTTGTTCATTGCTATCAGAATGAGATCTAAAAATACTTGTTGCTCAAGTCTGTTGAGTGTTCAGTGATTTTTACCCTTGCTTATGAAGCCCAAAGACTGCTGAAGAAGAGGGCTGACTCCTGTCACTTCAAAATATAATAAAAGAAAGAAAATCCCCAAAACATTTGAAGAAGGAGAGAGGCCTGAGTATGAAAGCTTATGGAATTGGTGAACTTGTGAAATTGGTGCACAACCCCGACAAGGGAACAGCTTGTAAAAAACTGTTGGGCAGAATTATTGTAAAATCTAAGAGATAAAAAAACATAGGCCAGGAAAACACTGAGGGTATTTGCATGGCTTAGCCTAAAGTAATACTTGGATATAATTTATGATTGTAAGACTACAATTTAAACAATAATCCTTTA